CAGGAAATGTGGAACCTTCCCTATGTGTTGAGCCACAGGCCGGCCCAAGCAAAGGCCTGTTGGCTATGGAACTCTTAAATGATGGGCATTGCTATAAAGTCTGTTTTTCAAACATATCACTAGAGCAGAGTATTTCATCTGAGTGTTTCATCATAGATCTGAGCACTATGGACATTTTGCACCAGCTAATTCTTTGGTGGTAGGGAGGCTGTCCTGTGCATTATAGGATGTTTAGCAGCATCGCTGGCCTCTCCCTACTACATGTGACGGCACCAAAAATGTGTCTAGATATTGCCAAATGCCAGGGTTGGGGATAGGAGGCAGAAATCATCCCCTATTGAGAACAACTGCACTAGAGGTACACTATCTTACTGTTTTTCCCTTCAAAGAAAATACTTTGGAGAGGTGAGGGATTGAAGGGAAGGAAGAGAGGCAGAATTCAGATGATAATTCTGTTGAATCATTTTTGGAATTTTTTTCCCCACTCTTAGAATTGCCTTTCAAGACCATTTCTGAACATAATAGGAAAATAAGCCTCTCTTCTTCACGTTCATAGCTCATGGTTATATCCTTAAAACCATAGAATTTCAGGATTGGAGAAGATTTTAGAGAATAGCTAGGTTTAAATAATTATCTTGTCCATCAGATATCTTAATTCCTCCTAACTCAGAGTGTTACAGATATTTGTTTGCCACTAGGACGCTATAGCTGTGCTAGATAGATGACTGGATGCAAAGTATCTAGAACAGTATCACATGCAAAGTAAAAATGCAAAATTGATATCACTGTCCCAGGTACAATTTGTAGTTAGTAGAGAACACCATTCACAGGGGTTGGGTCCATAATGATTTAAAAGAAACACACCAGAGTGTGGTCCAGCCTTATAGCTAGACAGCCAAGCATGGGCAGTAGGGGATGTATGGTAAAAAACAACTCAGTGATAGTCAGCTACTGCTGGCTGCCATCCCAGCATTTTTAACAAAAAAAAATATTCACAGTTCCGTTGCCTGGCCAGAAAACCTCATTTCATTTATACAGCATTTCTCTTTCCTAGTGACACATCCTGTATTCATTTGCCTGAGATGGTCCACTTAAGTACAAGTAAACCAAAGGAAAGCCATCCAGAAAACAAATCACCCAGCAGTTTGCTTATCCATTTTTCATAAACATCAGGACTATCTCCTTCTAAACAAAAGACAGAACAGTGGCTACAGGATAGAAGATGGAGGAAGTGGGGTCTCACTTTGCTTCTTTTGGCCTGTAATGTAGGAAAGCATCTTTTCGGTGGGGGGTCAGGGTGGCAGTTCCAGAAGTTTCCTCTTTTCCAGTTTTAGTGTAGTGGGACTTCAGGGAGTAACACCCTCACCTCTTCCTCCTCCCTATCTCTCCTTCACTGTTCCTGGCATGAGGGTGAGATAAAGAGTGACTTATCTCACTGGAGAACTTGGGAGAAGTTCAATGCCCTCAGCTCAACCTGCTCTGCTCTCTCATACCTGCCTGCCTGCCCACCTGTGCAGCAGAATGTCCACTCCAGCAATCTGAGCAGAGCAGGCTCTGCACACGCCAAGGAGAATGCAATCACCCAGGCGGGCTGCAAATGTTCCTAAAGCCATCCCTTTTGGCCACAGATATAAAGCTCACATCTTTCAATCAGCTTTTCAGCAATAAAGCTGATAGACATTCTGATTTTCTTTGTCTTCTATGTCAATTGGTTTTAAATCCAGGAGGGGAGGAAAAGGGTGTTTATTAGCCCCTTAAGAGTAAGATTTGAGTTAGAATAGTTTAAATAACCATATGAGAACACAGACCCATTCACACCACATTCTACAATTAAATGATCAAAGCCCAGCTAGATCTACATCTCTATGGCCAGATACTCACATAGTTTCATTTCACAATAGGGAGAATGCCATGGGGTGCTATTAATTACCTAGTGATTTTCAAAGAAAGCAACTTTCCACCTTCAGGGGTAGGATTCACCCTGGTGTCTACTACCGATGCTGACATTAGCTTAGGTGAGTCACTTCCCCTTCATGGAACTGTTCCTCAACTGCTGAAATCTCAAAGGTACGAGCATAGGACCAGGAATTCTAAGAGGTCTTGTGAGTTTGGTTTTATTTATTTTTCAAAACATTTTACTGATGAGAGAAAGAACTCTGTGAAAACACAGCAAAGATGGAGAGTCTCTAACCTTTTTGGCCTCCAGGTGCTAAATGCTAACATTCATTAATTCTGTGTATTCCTTACAGAGTGAGATATCATTGCCTATAGTGGTCCTTAAGGAATTTAATTTAATGAAATGATAGGAACAACTGCAATTAGAATATAATTGCATGCATGCAAATATGCTTAGGGGAGCTTTGATAGAGTTTATGGTTGCTACATTCACCCAGAATTTTGGCCTACATTATTAATTTGCACTACTATGAAGAAAGGGTTTGTTAATCAAAGATAAACTATCCTGATGATTATGAATTAGTGAACTTCAAATTATGGTAGGATAACGAGGCAGTGCCGTGCACATATACAACTCTCTACTAAGCAAAAGCTTTCCGGCTGGCCACATAGGAGGTCTCCTTATTGAAAGATTTATTTTTAATTTTGAACAGCTTCCCAGCATTAGCTTTCATGAAAATTAAAATAAGGAGCTGGAATTTTGTCCTATTCAGCAAACCTCCTGGCAGGAGTGCACATCATGGCAGAGAAAACCTTATTGTGTCAGAGGAATTCTCTGTCTACTTTTGTCCTAGCTCTAAAAGAATTACACCTACATGTTAAATAAAACTGACTTTTTTTTTCCCCTTCTCTAGTAATGGTTTTGCACATTTTCTTCTTTTGGAGGATTTTAAATATGTCTTCTTTGTGTTCTTTGGACCTTTTGTCCTGGTAGGTGTTGACATAATTTCTCGGCTCAAATCCCTTAAGTATACAGAAGGTCATAGAAGTCTCCCCCGAAATCTATGGGAGCCAAGCCTGTCCCCAGCACTTCTCCCATAGGCTTTTCTCTGCCAAAGAGAATGATTTCACCTTGTATAGCTGAGGCTCAAGGGTCCATTCCTAGTTTTAATTTAGTTAAGAACACGATGTAGTGATATGTTTGAGAATAGCCAAAAAGGTATAAGGGGGTTGAATGTAAGAATATTGACTGAGTCATAAACCAGATTCTCCAGGGGGTGCAGAGATCATTCTACACTACACTGTCTCCTCTAACTCAGAGAGACCAGTGGCACCCACGTATGTTCCCAGGATCTGTGCGTAATATTTCCATCGTGTTCTTCCAAAAGAAAACTAATAAAACATTGGCAATCAGAGTACTTGTGTCACTATAGAAAACTCCTAAATCATACTATTCTATGTAGAAAAATAAAACTAACCACCACTAACAGTGTTCACAATCTAAAAGTACAGAAATGAAAGACAAAAGCCTAACAGGATGACCTGGTCACACTACATATTTTAAAAGACCATTCCCATTTGTAGAGCTGGAGTTACATTCCAGTAAGATTTGCCATTCTAGCCTCCATTCAGAATCTTCCCCAAGTCTTAACTTTTTATTTATTCTAGAAAGTTCAGGGGGAAATGGAAAAATAATGGCTTTGGATTGGGATGCTGGAATACTTTTCATTATAGGATCAATTAGTAAAGATATTTTACTTAACTATTGAGTGCACTTACTGAAACATTCATTTAAGAGAAAAGTGCAGTAAGAGGCGATAGGATTGTTAGCAATTTATAATCCTTTTCCGGCGATGTTTGCTATCCTAAGAGCCTCACAAAAGGGTAAGCCGCGGTCCTTTTTTCCTGTTCCTCTTTAACTTTCCAGAAATAACAGAGAATTGCCAATGTAAAACTCCTGGTGGGGTGGGAACTTTTTCAGGGAAGGAATACAGATGAGTGGGTCGGGAGCCGGAGCCTAGAAATCTACATTTTGGAAATATTTGATATTCAAGATTTTGTGACAGTTCTGTGGTTAACTCAGCAAAAACACTTCATGAACAGAAAATGTTTTTAGCCATCTGAATTAGAAGGAAATGATGTAGGAATTGAGGGAGACTGCTCCCCCACCCCAGCCTTCATGTCAATTATAGATTCAACCGTGAAAGTAGCTGTAAAAGTAGTATTATCTTAAAACAAACTTTGTTAACCACACACATGAAGATTTATATGGTGATTCTAGCATAGGTCCATGAAAATTTTACATTAAATAACAAGATCAAAACTATAGCTGCTAATGCTTTTGTTATAAAATACAGCAATTACTGATACAGAACTCTATATTGGTAAAAATCAATTTTATAATCCTACATATTCTATAAATGCTCTGATGTCCAGCCATGGATATTGTGATTAAAATGGCCCATATGAATCCCATACTAGCTGGAGCCCATTCTACTAAATGAAGTATCACAAGAATGGAAAAACAAGGACCACATGTACTCACCATCAAATTGGTATTAACTGATCAACACTTAAGTGCACATTTAGTAGTAACATTTATCAGGTATCGGGCAGATGGGAGGGGGAAGGGGATGGGTATATTCACACCTAATGGGTGCGATGTGCACTGTCTGGGGGATGGACATGCTTGAAGCTCTGACGTGGGCAGGGCAAAGGCAATATATGTAATCTAAACATTTGTACCCCTGTTAGATGCTGAAACAAAAAACAAATTAAAAAAAAAAAGAGAGAGAGAAGTCCAGCATCGAATGACTCAGCCACTGGAATGCCATCCCCTTTCAATGAGACACTGTCTTAGTCTTCACATTACCTTTACCACCTAGTGCAGGGCATGTTATGCAGCTGAAATCCAAAATGTATATATATATATGCATATTTGCTGAATGAATAAATGTCCTAAGTATCTATTATATTATAACGCAGCTCCCAGATTCAATTGATTCTACTGCAGTGGAAGGACTGTAATATCATTCATGGTTATCACCATAAGCCCTTTCTCTGCACACATCCAGATCATACAATACAGTGGACCTGATTCCTACCTGCTTGGTTTGTTGTCACAGTGACAGACACTGATTGGTCCGGACTGGGGTTGTATTTGGACACTCCATTCACTGCCCAGATTTCAAATGTGTAATTGGTATGAGCTAGGAGGTCCGTGATGGAGACTCTGGTGGTCTTCAGGCCATTCTGCTGTGGGGTGTAGTGGACCCCACTTCCGCAGGGCCGGCACTTGCTGGGGTCACCAGCTCCACATTTCTTGCATACCACATTGTAGGAGATGTCCTGGCGACCACCTGTGTTCTGAGGACTGCTCCATTCCAAGTTCACTGATGTCTCATTGACATTTGAAATCAAGTTGAGGGGAGCAGATGGTGGGCCTGGAGAAAAGAAAACCATATGGTCACATCAAGAACTGAAATATCCTTTTGGAATCTCTCAGAGTTTATATTATTCTCTGCAGCTCTAGGAAGTAAAGTGGACCCGTTTGGCAAAGAAAGCAAAAAAGCAAATCAAGCCAGCAAAGAAGATCTTTTAAAAGAACAATATGATAGAAGGCTGTGCATGAGTGTCATTCTCATTCTTGTCCAAAAAAACAAAACGCCCAGCATCCACTGCCACTCTGAGATGTGAAGCAACTCTACAGCAAATGGGCTTCAAGCCCAGACTTTCCCTCTGAAGTGGAAGGAAAATATAACTTATCTAGTCTCCATCTTATCATCTGAAAAATGAATGTGATTCTAGTTCCCAGGGCTGTTGTGAGACTCTGGTAAATTAATAGTTATACACCGCTTCTGCAGATAAATTATAATTCCTGAGGACAGCATGTCATCAATCGCAAATAAAATTAACAGAACTGTATAGATATGCCTCTACAGTTCAACACGGCAGCTGAGGGCTAAGCTGTTTATGGGTAATTAGGAGGAACTGGTTCAACATGGTTGCAGAGATGTCAGAGATACAGCTGTTGAGGGAACTCAAATCTAGGCAGGGATTGTTCGAGGCTAATAGACACCCCCCTACCACCCCGCCCTTCAACGGGATCCTTCCCACCAACATCAAAGAGTTTCTGAAATGTGAATGATAGCAATGGTTGTTATGAAACAGAACTGATGGCTAACAACATAATGGTTGGTTTAAAAATAATAATAAAAAATAAGACTAGAGACCACTATAACCCCTTGCTTCTTGCTGAAGATTAGACTTTATATGCCAAGAAGTTGTGACAGGAACTGCCTTCAAGTAGAAGAATCAGGCTGGGAGAAGGGAGAGGGAATTTTCTTGGTCTGAGCCAGTTCTAAAGATTTAAAAGACACCTGCTGCACTTTAATGAGAAATATTTACTCAAGGTGACAATCGAAAAGCTCTTTCTTTTTCCCTCTTTTGGTCTTCCCAAAGATGAACTGAAATAAATTTTAATGAAAATTTGAGGTTTCTTGACCACTGTTATCTATGCTATTGCTAATGTATTTGGAATGACTACTTTGAAGGAAATTTGTACTTGTTCCTTGGGAAAAGGAAGTTAACTGAACGCCTGCATGTCTTGGGAGAGCTGGACCTAGTCAGCCACAGCTCCAGAGAGGCTGGAGAATTAGAAGAGGTAACCTGTAAGGAAGGAGTTAGAGTCAATATTTACTACCTAGCTTGTGGTGATTAATGGCCAAAGGATTTTTTGGTGGTAACGTTTAATAAGGGTAATTCCCTCTCCTTTTCTCTTCCTACAGCTTATTGAAGACTTTATTTTAATAAGGTAAACAGGCCCTCCCAGTCTTCCCTTGGGACTGATTACGAACAATCTCTCTTAGCATTAAGATTGGCTCCCCATCCTGCAAAACTTAAAGAAAAAAAAAATTTATAAAAGCGTTGTAAAATTTGTATTTAAGGTGAAATTATCTCACATAAGTCCTCAGAAAGAAAATATAAATTCCTTTCTTGTCTAGATTTCAAAATTGTATTTATGGTCCTTAGCACAGTGACTGGAATCTAATAAGGGTGAATAAATGATTTTTGAACAAATGGAGTTATTTAAAATCACAGAGTCTAAGAGCCACATTGGACATTACAATCCTTTGGTCAAATGTCCTCATTTTAACGATGAGGACACTGAGATGTGGAAAGTGGATCTGATCATACTCAAAGTTCATGCAATCTAATCAGTGTCAGAGTTTGACTAAAATCCAAAAGTACTATCTGCCATTTGGGGTTACTTCTAGTCCACCATGTGTTCCCCACAAAAGGTGTAATGACAACGAAAGCAAAAATTTCAGCCGGCAACTGAGAAGCAAAGTAGGCCGGGGGAGTGGGTGTCGGGTCTGTTTACCTTCTGCAGCGGCTGCCACCACAGAAAACCCATGGCCAGGGTGCAGCTGAGGCTGACCATAGCTTGGTTATATTATAAAATGGGTCAGCCACTGGTTCTGATTTTGTTGTGACTTCCAGAGTTAAATAAGAGGGACTCTGAAATCCATTAACCTCCTGGCCAAGGTTCCTGGTCCACTTTCACATGGGAAAATGTGACACAATGAATCAAGCAGAAGCAAAAAGTCAGTAATTAGTATGTAGGACGGGGCATGGCAGTGTCTAAACAGAGAAGAAATGGAGCAGAAAACTAAATGGTCACAGGACTCGGAGATGTAACACCACCACATGGAAAAAAAAAAAAAAACAAAGATGCTGGAGGATCTCAAAATGCAGGGCTGGCACGAAAACAAGTGCTAACCTGGAACAGCCTTCTTCCTTTGGGCAGTGATTCTTGTAGAAGGCTCTGAGCTTGATGTTCCAGGGAACATTGAGAATGAGACAAGCTCAAGGTCAGTGCTGCCCCGTGAACAGTTTGGGGAACTGAACTACATAGGTTTCATGTCTTGCTATCATAGGGTGATAGTTATGTGGGCACATAGTAGCAGCCTAGAAACTGAATTATGGCAAAGTCATATGATAGAGGGGGAAATGATATACAGAAATATCCACCCAGTGCGATTGTAACGTTGGCCTGCAAAAGCCTGGGAAAGGACGCATGCTTGGCAAATTAAAATCATAATGATAGTTGTGTTGTGTTTGTGATATTGTGGTTTCTTTTTTTTTTCACTCTCACCAATTAAAAGATAATAGATAACAAATGTGTTTCCCATTTAAAGGGTGGGCCCACATCGTTCTCAGAAAAGAAAGCAATTTCTTCTAAGACAATGAAAAAAATAGATATATGGACTTGAATACAGCCAAAAGCTAATCTGGGCCCACAGTTACACTTAACGGCAGCACCTTAAAACAATTACCTGCAGAGATGGCTAAAAAGAAGAAAAAACAGGCATTCTGAGTAACATGAGCTCTCTTTCGATAAATACAAGGCATCTAGGAGGAAAAAATTTAACTCTTAGATTATTTTCTCTTCCATTTATTTAGGTGTCAGATCTGGATATTTAGCAGCAATTAAATTTCTGACACAGAGATTGCTTTTCTCATCAGAAATATGTCCACCTGCAAGGACGTCTCCAATCACAAATATGAGGTTTATAACAGAGAGGGATAGCTATACTTACTGCTTGTTCTAATTTTCTATCCCCACATCGACATCTTCCCTACTAACCACACCCTGACATGAGGTAGCTGGAGGGTCGCTGGGAATGGCAAGGTTTTATGCTTTTCATAACTATTCACTCCTAAGCCTGAATATAGAACTGGCAGCAAATTCTTCTTATGGTATTGTCCCACATTTCAGCTCTTTATTTCTATTTCCTACTTAGTCTGTAACATGTCATGTTATCTTGCTAATCAAATACCATTCCATGTGTGTTTCTATCACGAGTCTAAGTGCTCCTCTAGAGAACTGATGTCTTCATTTCCCAGGGTCTACCATGGTTCCTAGTTCAGAGCAAGCTCACTAGACGTTGGATGAGTCAATGAATGAATGAATGAATGAATGAACAGGAAACTAAAAAATTCTTTAATGCATCCTACACCCACACACCTGCGGTGTTTTGAGGTATGTGAATTGATGCAGCCTTCTCGGAGCTAAAGCTGTACAGAGTCAGCTTTTCATGTACAGATTCATTAGCATTAAGGCTATAAAGGAGTATCACAATGTAACGACTTTAATTCAAATTCCTCTTTTTTCATAGTTTACAGTTACCTTGGAAAAAGCAGGAAGGGCTACTATATATCAAATATTACTGGTTATTTCTGTTGGGAAGGACTGTGGAGTCATTCATTTAGTCAACGAATATTCATTGAGAGTCCAGTGTTTGTCATCTGCTCTAAGGAAGAGAGGCAAAAAAATATTCTGATTCATTTTGATACTTTCCTGATAGTTTCCTGGATAGTTGAAGGAAGGGGTAGGGAACCTAAGGGAAGGGAAGAAACAGAAGGGAACTAAATATGGATTATGTGTGCATTGGATGTAAGGGCAAGCACCCTGCTCTGTCCTGTTTTATAACTGCTGAACCAACCACCATGGCTGGGAATTTAACATGTGGGCTCTAACAAATAAAGTTTTGTCAAGTTGGTATTGGTTTTTACGACTTTTTCTTTCCACCTTGATTTCAGGTAATGATTTATTCAGGCATGAACCAGGGCAACACTTTACCTCGAAAGAAAATTAATTTTAACATTTCCAAAGATAGGCTGGCATTTTCCTTATTAGCCTTTCTAGAACTACAGCTTTTTCTTTTAATTTTAATTTTTTAACCAAAAACACATTTTTAAACATAAATTAATCATATGCTAACGTGTATTTAAGAGAAACTAAATGTTCCTTCCTTTATATTTTTGGTTATATTTATAAACATCCCATGAAATTCACATATAAGCCCAGGATTGTCTCTCACTGCCTCTCTGCAAGAATGAGGCTTAGCATGTTAAACTATTTTAAAGGTTTTATATTTAGAATGCCCTTCACATTTTTAATATAGTTTAGTGGCGCAGATAATAGCTGTACTACCAGAAACAAAAGTCAAATGCAATAATCTTTAGAGCAGGAGTCAGCATAATTTCTCTGTAAAGAAATTTTACTATCTAGCCAGAAAGTAAATATTTTAGGCTTTATGGGCCATCTGGTTTCTGTAGCAACTACTCAACTCTGGCATTGTATCTCCAAAGCAGCCACAGACAATACCTAAACAAATGGGCATGGCTGTATTCCAAGAAAACTTTACTTGCAAAGATAGCGGACAGTTTAAATTGAAAGTTGAGGATGTGATGACGACAATGTACCTTCTTCCTAGGAAGATGCTCTCAGGCACCCTCAGAATTTCGCCCATAATTCTAGGGAGGACTTAGAGGACATCTGGGGTCTATCTAAAGGGCTCAGTCCAGAACCCCCTGATTAATTAAATATTTTAGGCTGCATAGCCTAACACATTTATACAGCCCAGGTAACAACCCT